GGGTTAGTGTCGTACCTTACTATGCGACTACTCATACTCCAGCTATTCAAAAACAGCACTGACACTCAAGAGAAGCTCAGACTGAACCTCCACTCATTGAGTGTGAGTGTGAGTGAGCTTTTAGAATACAGGCGTATACCATGCAACTCTCTAGCCTATGTGTCAGTAACAGTGTAGTCAACTGGAACACAGACTATAGTAACACTATACGTACTACTGTGTACTTACTGTACTTTTAGATGTTACAAAATATATTTTTATATAAAGTTCATAATATTGTTTGATTATATATAGCGTACTTGGATGATTAACTGCCCTATTTAGTTTTAGCTTACCTTATTTAGTTGACGCAACATCATTTAACCAACGAAAGTGCGCGCTGTTTCGTACTCCGACTTTGACCGTTATTTACCGGTTGTTACAGTATAACTAAAAAAATTGGCCAAATCAACCAAATATTATTGGTGAATATCCGTATACCATTTGTATTATAGTTAAAACAACCGATATTTATTTGGTTGAAATATGCTCAATTTGACATTTAAATTTTAGTCATTTTAACTTTTGAATATAGGTTGGAATTATTTTTTAATTCGTCAAAATAACCATAAATCTTTAGTTCAATCGACCAATAATTATAGGTTAAAATTACATATTACAGATTTATAGGTTAAAGTTACCATTTGCGATGGTTTGCTTTTACCTATTTAATTTTAGTTGTTTTAACCTATTAAAACAACCTATTTCTTATGGGTATAAACCAACCCATTTTTAATCAATGGTTTGTTTTAACCTATTTATTTTCCGTTCTTTTAACCTATTGAAATAACCTATATTTATCGGGTTGTCCTAGACCAAACCAAATAACCTATTTTTTTGGTTATTTTAACCTATCAGTTTTTACAGTGTATATGTAACTTACAGTTTATTTCCGCAGTTCAATATATACATGATCTGTAGGTTTCCTTTCCTTGCCCTATAAGTGCGTTAAACATCACAATTACACAGTGGCGAGTTATAGCCATAGCAACAGGTCATGCACGCTATGATGACATTTTTATTGAGGATTTTTTAAACTCCATGCATGGTGTGATGCATGCCTTCCATTGTATGACATTCAGTGAACGGTGTTCAACAGAGTGTTGAGTGCTATTTTCAGCATTTTGGAGTCTATTTTAGTATATTTTGGCGATTTAAATCATTTCACAATTCAATCACACCTTTTAGCCTGTAATTTATTGTTAATAGTTGTATTTGTAGGTGCATGACTATACGTACTATAGCATATTATACAACTCACTATATTGTTGCCAAATACATTGCAGATAAAGATATATAACTGACATGAAGTCTAGTCAGGGATCAAGGTAAATGAGAATTATGGAAGGTATTAATATATACACCATACTCCATAGATCTAAAATGGTGGTGTCCGTGCTAAGTTTATTTATTTATATTTATTTATAAACTTTACAATCAATAAAACGATTGAAGAATGAAGGACTGTGGAGTCCCACATTAAGTCCTACCTACCTACACATTCCATTGACATTGAAAAACAATAAAAACAGGGTTATAAACTTAACAAAGTGACAACACAAAATTAAAGCACATGCACGATCAATGCGTTCCAAACCATCTCACTTTCCCAGTTAAAACTAGACATGGACCGCCCAAATTTTGCGGTCCTCTCTAAGTCAACTACCTTAAAATGAAGAGATCTGAAAATTGCAAAGAAGGTTTGGGAAATGGCCAAGTTGCAAAAAAGTTTTATATATTTACCAGCGTTTTATATTAATTTTATATGTTTAATCATTGAAGTCCACCCTATCACAACCTGCACACCCGATTACCTATATATACATGAACTTACGGTTACAGCTCAACAGCATAGATGTAGTAGTGCAAATTTCATATCTTGCTATATGATTTAAGTAAATGTTTTTGATTAGTTCGTGATTACGTCCAGTGTTATGTGCTAAACGATTATTTAAAAATCACACGATAAAATAGCCACAAAAATGCCAAGTGCTAAAAATGGCACTCTAGATTTTAAAATCTCGCCGGGGGAGCACACCCCATCCAAACACATTCTCGGATAAATAAACATGCAAACTTTATATTCGAACTAGTGCAGGGTAAATTGCTTCGGACCCTTCTGTGATTGATTTTGCGCCCCTCTTGATCAGAAATCCTGGCCACGTCCACCGTGTTAAGACGGAACGATATGCAACGACGATTTTAAATGCGGTCATGCGTTCCGTTATGACTCATTATTGAAAATTCCTGAGTAAAGTGTAAATGACACTAAGTTTTTGCGAGGTAAATTTCCACACAAGTGACACTCGCTTGTTATTTAACGTGTAAAATAAGCTTCACTGGAGTTTTGTAAAAAAAAGTATTTTCACAACAACAAGAATGAGGCCAGTGCTTAAAAACTAAATTTTGAGGCCCAAAAGCAACAAAATGACTGGTTGTTTTGTGTAACAAAAGTTGTTATAACTATCATACTAAAATCTGCTCACCAAAGGAGAGTTAAATCGCATTGTGGTTGATTTTCTAAGATTTGTATAAAGTGTCGTGCGAAATATAACTAAAATTCTGATTCTGTAATGGATCGCAGGTATTCAGTACATGGCGCGCATGCATTGTGTGACAGTTGGCTCGCTGGTGTGTCTCGTATGACTTGAGCGGTGTTATTTTGTCCTTGTTGTGTGCATAGAAGGAATAAGGCCCAGTAAGAAATCGGTCGTGAGAGGGAATTTTTTGTATAAAAAAGGAAATTTATTGAAGGCAAAAGATTTCTTACTAGGCGGTTGTGGAAGCCTTTGATTCCGGACAAAATAACGAACTCACGGGCAGAATTAATATAATGCCTTCCGCGATCAAGCCGACAGTATCTTCATCCGAAGAAGTACTTGCTCCCTGACTAGACTTAATGTCGGTTATAAATCTCTATCTCGATTAAATTTAATGATCAACGAGTCACAATTCAATTGTATTTGGGAACAATATAGTGAATTGGATAACACTGGAGTATAGTCACTTTATGTTGCACTGTCACTTAATCAACGCACCTATACAACCATCTACAATGAATCACAGGCTAGCTAGGCTATATCTATTTGATTTTCATTAATTGTTTTAGAAAATGGTTTCATTGAAGTGCAAAATGATTTAAAATCACCAAAATACGATAAAATAGCCCCCTGAAAATAGTACTCAACATCGTTCACTGAATGTCATGCATCATCGGCATGAAGTTTAAAAAATCCTCAATTAAAAAGGTCACGACCTGTTGCTATGCATGGCTCAATGGTAGCTCGCCACTACCTGTGTTATTGTAATTGTGATCTTTAACGCACTTATAAGGCAAGCAAAGGAAACCTATAGATCATTATATATTGAACTTCGAGAATAAACTGGTATAGACGGTTACATATAGGTAGTAAAGACGGTATTACACCTTATTTTTCAACTTGCTCGGTTTCCTTTGTTTTTATCGGGGAATATATTCAATATTCCCCTCTAATCAATTTCCGTTTAATAATTAACCCCCCCCCCCCCTAATATTCACCTTCAATGTCTTTGCAGCACAAAAAATGAGAAAAAAAACAACATCACGAATGCAATATGGCATTAAGAATTATTTCTATTCTGACTCATTAATGCGACCTCGCAATGTGAAAAATAAGTAGGCCTACGTTATTTTGAGGCACCTCGGGGATTTGTTTTTACTCACCTCGCCGCTGCGCGCCTCGGTGAAGAAATCACATATCCCCTCATTGCCTCAAAATACAATGAAACTTTACAATGCGAGTATATTTGTAAAATTATGTCCAAGAATTTCTGTTCAGAATTTCCCGTGCAGGATCGATTGTCTGATCCTGCACGGCTGTTGACCAATCAAATTGCGTGTTTCACTGTAGTTATTATATAAAACATGTTGGTGCATATGAAGCATTATGTTTGAATAATAGTAAGTATTAACAAAGTCTTTATTTGCATGAATACCACACAATAAGGCCGAAGCACGTAAACGAACGTTTATCAGTAACGTAAGAATATGAATTCTGATTGGTTATTCATATAATAATATGTATGCATATTGCTTGTTAAAATTAAACGACGAATTGAGTACGCTTTGTACAGTATTGATCATGTATATTGGCATTGCATGTTCTCACTAATTTTATGATAATTCGATTTGTTAGCACTCCTAACTTTAAATATCTTACTACGCTACTGCGTGTTTGCGCTTAGCTGAAAACTGCGCTACCCAAAATTGGCCCCCCAAATAAAACCCGTTCCGCCGCCACTGGACTCAGTCCTTTGAAAAGTTGGTCAAAATGTTCGCCAAAACTTTTAACGTGGTCAAAATATCATATATACCCCCCCCCCTCTCAGAAAATATTACCGACCGTTGAAACAAGCATGTTTAATTAAATTAACTCGCGTTCAATGGAGGTTTGTTCCATTGACTCTTTAGCATGAGGTCTGCACCGTAGGCTATTGATTCTTCAATTGCCGCATTGATGACGAGTATATAAATTAAAAATATAAAATAACACATCGACAATATTTGAAAGATTTACAAATATACTAAATTTGAAATAATCAGTAATAATGATAAACAGTAATAATAAAACAGGAAATTTGCAGACTGAACTCCCAATGCCATACGATTCTTAAATGGGCAACCAGTACCTGGACAAATGTTCGAAAATTGGAGGAATTTCAATCTTGAATGTGGCGGGAATGCAATTTCAACCGACCACTTTAAATCAGATCGTAAATTTGTCACTCAGTTTTATCGCAGTAAGGCAATTATTCAATCAAGGTGTCATTTGACAGCTAAAGGCCTGGTAGTTATACATACGAAAACAGAAAACCTACACAATCGTAATAATTAACACCAAAAATAGAGCCGTATTCCTGAAGTCTGATGGCAAATTATCTATTTTATTCAAGGTTCATGTACAGATCCCAAACCATTAGGAATGACAAGTGGTAAAATACCTGATGATGCAATCACGGCGTCATCTTATTATTCCAGCGATTACAAACCTGGCTATGGAAGACTGAAATGGGTAGGTTATTGGTGCTCTTGGACACCCACTGCAGCAGGGAAAATCGGCTCGTGGCTTCAGGTTGATTTGGGACAACTCGCCACAGTGACAGGAATAGCAACCCAGGGAACATGCATCAACCAAGATTTTTTTTGGGCAGAGTCGTACTCGGTTTCATACAGCAATGAACCCAATTTATGGACATCTTACAAAGAATCAGGGAATGTAAAGGTAAGTCAGCGCATCAATCTTGTACGGCGAAATTTTACAAAACACGGATGCAGAAATTAATATAAAGGCCCGTTTACACTTGCATTTTTTGCTGCGATTTCTATAATGCGATTTCTTCAGTCTTCTGATGGATGTGAACGAGCAGATGTGTTACGAATGTTCTGAGTATGTGTACCTCATCTGAACATTCATAACTTATCCACTCGTTCACATGCATCAGAAGAAGAAATCGCAGCAAAAAGTGCAAGTGTAAACGGGCCTTAAGTGCACAAAAAATTGTCCACTTAGGCCTAGCTGTTCTGTGAAGCTCGCCAGAGTGGGATGAATTGTTGAAACCTCATCTGACTTTTTGATTTAGGTTTTTCAAGGAAACACCGATCAAAGTTCCATCGTAACACACTCATTTAAACCTCCTATTCGTGCTCGGTACATTCGTGTGTTGCCAAAATCCTGGAGCGATTGGCCTACAACGAGGCTCGAGCTTTACGGTTGTCGCTACTAGTTTGCTGCATGTAATTAACACGTGCGTTCATGCATTTTTTATGTTACAGATCTGTGTATACCAGTAATAATTGCTATATATGTAATGCATGGTTACTTTTTCTTTTTAATATGTTTTGTTACTGTAATTGTAACAAATTGTAGCTTGGTCAACTGGCATGGAAGTGTAGACTGAATGCGTTCATTGAAAACTTATCAGAGGGTGGTAAATGGTATATTCGTAAACCGCGTGAATTGTCAATATTTGTTTTCGTGAAATGTGAAACGACGGATTTTTGTGTCGTGAAACGTGATTTACATACCTAGCCGTGAGACGTGATTGAAGACTAGATGAATGCAGTAAGAAGTGGAACGGAAAGAACAGCAATGCTTTGGATGCAATAATTTTACTGCATGCATGTATTTTCTTGATTTTTACTAGATATATTGGTTGTTATTAAAATAGTCTTAATATCGTGCCTTCAGTGGTGAAATTAAGTTTGGCCTGAAAACGTAAAAATAGGACTAAGAACGGCATTAACTACTCAAGATAGGAAATAAAAGTTACACAGTTCAAAACGTGTTTTATTAATTTTCGTGAAATTGCTATGTTTTACACGTGAAACGTGAAGAGAGACAGCCATTTCAACAGCCTCTTATCATCATACACAATTCCCGGTATTTTCACAGCTGCTGCATGATAGATGTCATGCTAGGTGCAGTTTAGTCACTGTGAAAATTAAACGCTTTGATTGGCTACAAAGCGGTCGATTCTGCTCTATACAGACAGTTTAACCTTAATTGGTTTGAATTTTTTTGCATTTTGACAGTTCAATTTTAACTTTTGACAATCTTTAAATTACACCTTAGTATTTATTATTACATACTCAGAGTTTTTTCTGGGACGGACAGACGCATTTTTTCGTTCGGTGCAGCAGAAATTTTGACTTACGTAATATTGTTGATTTGTGTATGTCATTTGTGTTTGAAAACTTGACATCCGGAAATTAATTCAGTGAACACACAGCTAAAATTAAATTATTAACATGCTTGTCTAATTGTCTTACTTTCCGTAAACAAGTGATCAGTGTTTGTAAGTCGTTATTTAGAAAATATTTTTATAATCATCCAGTCGTACAGAATCTGTTCATCTGGCGTCGTGATGACTCAACTATGAGAGACCTTACGACCTTAGGACGGCAACGCGACGGCATCGGCAACTAATACAATAGATCGTTGAAAAGAATTGTGTAATTACAGTATATGAATAATTTAGACATTTCCCTCGCTCTGTTTACAACGCCAAATAACAGATTTTCACGTGTTCATACAACGGCTGCATTCCAAGCCACAACAAGTGCAACTTCAAACTGGGTTCGGCAGAACTCTTCCCAAACATAAAACCCATGTTTTCAACTTCTAAGACTGTAATAAATTCGTACGATTGATAATATACGACGAACTATCTTTACTAAAACTTATTTGAAGGAGTTTGTTTTGGCCGTCGCCGTCGCGTTGCCGTCCTAAAATCGTAAGGTCTCTATTAAGCCTGTTTTTCACTAGGCGGAATTTTGCACGCGGAGAGGAATTTTTCTTTGTTTTTTCTATGTAGTTCCACCCGAGAAATCACAAGACAAAGAAATATTCCGCTCCGCGCGCAAAATTCCGCCTAGTGAAAAACAGGCTTTAGGGAGCTTAAGCAAACTCGACCTCACGAACGACGACAACGACCGGAAGTAAGTTTGCACGATTTTGAAAGAGACTTGATCATGGTTATTACAGGGACTGGTCTATACCTGCATGGGTACGAAAGCCGCTTGAGCAACATACAAAGCCCTGTCAAACCGCCACATATTGAACGTTGTTCGCATAACAAACGTTGCGGGATTTGAAGGTTTTCTGCAAAAACTAGGATGTCCTGTTTGCGAAACTGAACTCTGCCAAACATTCATCTTCATCCATGTCATGAAGGTTAAAATCTGGGTACAACTCGTACGGAAAATCTGGATTTTTTAGTCGTATGAACAATATAAAAACAATAATTGTCCATCATCAACGATATCTTGGTCATGGCATATGAGAAATAAGTATAGGTAATCATGCGATGGCGAGTACAATTCGGGATTAATAGTACGGGTGATGTTTGGAAATTTTGCCAAAAAATTTATTGTTTATTATTAGCATATATGACAAAATTGGATACGTACTTCTCAATGTCAACATCATATTCTCTCGCCAAAGCCCAATCCTGCCAGACTTTCAACCAAAATTTGGTGCTTTTGTTTGTATTTTCATTTAGTTCTTTGTTCAAGCAAAATTTGGTGCTTTTGTTCCTATTTTCATCTAGTTCCTCCACGGCAATTTCATTTCACATGTAGTGTTTAAAATACCTTTCCGCCATTTTGTTTGTTTTGGAAAAATCATTAATTGTACTGCAGTACAATTAATGAAATAATTGTACTCCTCTCAACCAATCAGCATCCAGTAATTTTGTCATGCAAATAATAACTTCTGTAATTCCTTAAAAGATGACATTTGTATGAAGTTATTTATTTTATTTTAATGTCAGTCAAAAATTCTCAACGTTGTTGCAAAAATTCGCAACGGGTTGCAGTGTTGCTTAACTTTTGTATTTCCCGCGGAGAACGGCATTTTTGTTTCAGTTCTTTTTCCAACTCTACGTCATATTCCAGTGGTCGTGCGTGAGGTCGCGTCTAAAAACTAATTAATGAATTATTCAGTTATATTGATTGTTTTGATATACAGTACAGGTATAAAAAACGAGACCTTTCGGAATCAAACTGTTGTTTTGGATTTGAATGCACTACGCTGAGCCCACGGTCGTAAAACAGAATAGAAGTGAATTTTGTGCATGACGAAGTTATTTAAAACTTTAATTTGGTTTGACAATTTTTTATATCCTTCATACGATTAGAAGCTCTTTTAAATTTCCAGGAGCATAAAATCTCGGTTATCTTGTGCTGGCAACAATATAATAGCTTGATTTCTAAAGGTCTTGTTCTTTTATACACTCTGCATTATTTCAGTTTGTGCAGGCATGATGTTGCGTGTGTTCATCATCATGCCCCTTAGCAAAATTATATATGTAACAGACACTAACGTTAGACCATTCTCCTACAACTTCCTTGACCATCTTGCTTGGCCATTAAAATCGCGTGGGATTACAATTGGCGTAGTCATAGAGCCGCATGGGTGCGCGAAATTAAGACTGAGCGAAAAATTATCAGCGCGAAAAAGGTGTTCTGGGCCGGCTTTTACAGCAGTTTTACATGACATGCCAATTCAATACCAGAAACGTCAACACTGATGAACAAAGCTCCCCAAATTCGATCACGACTCATGAATTTTATAATAACGGGCTTTCTCAGTTGTTGACGTTATTTATATTGAATAGATGGCATTCCAGCAATCCCATGAGACTTTTAATAACACAAAAGCAACATGATGAAAAGCATCGTATTATTATTATTTATGAATATTTACATGCAGGATAAAAACACTTCAGTAAAAAAATTACTGCTCTTACTGTGTGTCCTGTACCAATTAGTGTCGAGCCTAGATGTCAGAAACAATTATTGCTATCAATCTTTTTACGTGAGGTGGTCCATGGTCGCGTATCACGTAAACTGCATGCTGTAAAGCACGATCATAGCGCTAACTCCGCACAGGTTACAATTTAACCCGTTGTTTGATTTACGTATTTGTGCAAGTCGCATGTTCATTTCAAAACTTTAGAAATATTGAAAGATTACGAAAACTCACAGTTGGCAGGACCACCGGGCATTGTTGGATTTTTAGCATTAGTTCGTTTCAAGAGCTTGACGAATCAGTCTACGGTGTTGTTCGTATCGCAGCTGCTGCACCACTTTAAATACATCAAGTGCAAGCGAAGGGTACTTACGCAAAAAAGACATTCTTGTAACGATCTCTCTTCTTTGTGAGAGTAAGCATCTCGAATAAATCTTAAGAAGTCGATCATCTTGGTGGTTCTGTATCTCCTTTAGTTTCCCGATCGATTAGACCTTCTCATATGTTCAAACAATTCAGGAAAATGCCTATTCCAAGGTAGCAAAGAAAGTTGTTTTCCAGTTGTTGTTGCTTGCAAAGATTGTTCCAACGTTGAGGTAGGATACTGGCTTGGATGAACAACTTCTGGTTGGTCACCAACCGCTTTAAGAAATTCGATCTTCTCCCTCTCGCTCGAAAAGAAAGGATGCTGCCTGAAATATTAGCTGGCGGGCGTTTGGAAGGATCTTGGTTCAGAAGTTGCTGAAGAAGACTTCCAACTTCGGGATCAATATCTAGATTCAACCGAATTCAACTCTCAGTAACGTGAGCTTGTTCTTCAATTCCTGTTTCAAAAGGATGTTTGCCCACAATGAAAAGATAATGGAGCACCAGTCCCAAGGAAAATACATCAGACTGTTGGGTATGCTCTCTTGATCGCATACTAATCAGCTCTGTTGCCATCCAACATCGTGTGCCGGGTGCCATGAGAACATAATTCGCATTGGGTATAGAGGTCGTATTTTTCGTCAGTCCAAAGTCGGCGATCTTGAAATGCAAAGCAGGACAGTTGTATACAGGATGTTTTCAGGTTTCAGATCGCAATGAATGAACATCTGTTCGTGAAGGTATTCCAAACCATTGATAATCTCTTTGGTAGCTTGTACACATATCGCTGGATCCTCTTTCAGAACTTTATTAACATCGTTTGTGACAAATTCATTAAGATTACCGTCCATCAGGTCAAGGCAAAGGTAGTGAAAAAACTCGTCTTTCGAATGTTCAAATCCGTAATATTTAACGATATTCTCGCACTCGTTAGAAAATAAAATCAATGTTTTCACTTCACGTATGATTTCTTTTGGATTAACGTTTGCCTTCTCTATCCGTTTCAAGGCGAACAAGCTATATTGGATAGTGCCAGACCGTTTGTCCAAATGCTCATCTTTGATTGCCAGGAACATTAAACTGAAAGCTCCAGACCCGATGGGCTTGTCCTTAAAATAACGGTATTTTCCGACAACAGTGACATTAGCCTCTCTGCCTGTAGTTTTAGCAAGGTCGGTTGCATTTTTAAGATGACTCTTCGGACATCGAGATCTTATTTCACGCTTATACGACTGTACACTTTGACGAGCCCCATGCAGGAGTACTGTAGCTTGTCAATGATTTTGCTATATAATGATGGCTGACGAGTGACGCTGGAAATGTTTGCACGCAATATCTAGAGGTGTCAGCCCGTCTCTGTCTACGGCGTTCACCTCCATTTCTGGCTGAAGAAGTGTATCTAAACTCCGTAGAATTGTAGTTGCGGCGTCATTGAATTTATCAATATCAGTGTGAACGTACATTCAGCAATGTATGCAAGGCATTTTGCTTGTTTTATTGCCCCTCTAAAGTGGTGCGAATCGGCATTATTTTTTCAAGCAACGAGACTAAATGCATGCAGGGCTGTAAATACTCGTTACAATTACAAATGTAACGCGTTACTGTGTACTCGTTACATTTGAAGTAATTTTAACCTGTAATCAACTACGTTTTTAGAAATGTAACGAAAAACGTAATTAATTACAAAAACAAGGAACTTGTTCCTTTTTTAAGGAGCAAATTGAAAATTCCTTTTCTTGTTCTGTTAAAAATAAGAAATAAAAAATACAACGTTACGACAAAAATTCAGAAAAATGGCTGAAATAATTTTCAACGAGATCACATGACATTATAGCCTACATGAAGTACTATTTATTGCGAAAGTGGAACAACAATTTGTTCCGAGGCTCAGAACGCCAAATATTGGCAAATACAGTTTTAAGTTTACATGCTTCGATAGTTCGATTTGCATGTCAAATGTTATTTAATATTTTGAAATATCGTTTTGATAAATTCTTGCAAATTTCAAAGTTTATACCGTTTTTATTTACAACTGCTGTTTAATTAAGATATTGTCTTATAATATATATAGTAACAATTTACCGGTAAAGGAATTTGTAATTAATTTCTTTTTTCCTTAGTAATTTTTTCATTGTACCTAATTACATTTTATAACAAATAATTGTAATCTGAAATTTATTACACTTTAAAGCAAGTAATTGGAATTGGAATTAATTCCTTTTTAGTGGTAATTTTGCAGCCCTGACAAAATGATGGCTAAACCTGGCAACATGTAATTCCTCCAAGGGATTAGGATGCTTAAAAAGATCATAATAAGAGATAACAAGACGCCTGTTCAGGCGTTCACACTGGCCTGAAAATAACGAGATACGTGCTATGGTACAAAAGGCAGGAATACAAATCTTAAACCGCAAGGAAATTTTATGGACCTTTAAAAAAAATAAAAGACCTTTTCGGGAGACGTAATGGTGCAAATCTATTACTAGGAGTTACTATCGCAAGGAAAGTGCTGCCTTTATGGTGTATGAACTGAATGCAAAAATTTATATTTCTAGACAATTCCCGTTTATATTCCCAACGTTTCCTTCTCGTTCATCATTTAAGCTCGTTCACAAACTCATTCTTAAATTGTGTGCACGGAATACGAGTAAATAGCCAACATGAAAATGAAGCCATTGGGTCAAAAGTGGATATTAAGGTCTATTAACCTATTAGCTGACAATGCATACTACTTTAGTATTAACTCTGGCTAACGCCAGACCAATTTACACTGTAACTCCAGACGATTTTACTTGTTACAAACACATCTGACATTGTATAGACTGGTGTTTGTATCAAGTTATTCTGCAAAGATGATTCCGAAATGTTGAGGCTTTCGAAAAAAACTATCGAACTTTTCCATGATGTTTTACAGAGAAACGTCACAGCTGCAACCCTCCATCTCCAAATAAGCATATGACGTTTCTCGTGGGCAAAATTTATATGTGAGGCTTTTCTTAGAAAGGTAGCTCGGCTCCATATGAACATGCCTACGAGTTGCGTTCTGGAAATGCCGCTATATATTATTTATTTTTTAAAACCGTAATTGTTACCCTGAATGAGCTGTTCTTTACAAATCCTTATCGAGTTTCTCATTTCACGATGTCATTGTCTCTATAAAACTGTAAGCAAAGTAAGGGATTTTAGTAAATATATTCCTTAAAATTATTGAATTTTTACATTCTCCCTCCTCATTTATCAATATTTTTGTGAGTATACACGCGTCACTTGTTACATCTACCAAATGTTTAACGAACCGTTCATTATTTATACCTGGGGTTGGTACCGAAGAGAAGCGAAAAACACTGTAATTTTTTTATTTACCCAACCTCGACATTGGTCAAAATAATTTTTACCCAACCACACACAAGATTATGGTGACAGAAATCAAGTTCTATTCTAAAACCTCTCTCAAACTCACTGAGTGTGCCAAAGCAATCACGGTGCTGCTGATCAATTATGGAATCCTTCATCAATCACTGATGGTCTATTTTGGTTCAGTATACATTTTTCTTCATATTTTCCATGCTTGGTAATTAATCAGAGTTGCAAAACCTGTGCAAATTTCCTCCGGGTAAAATTTAAAACCCTCTGGGTGCCAAGGTTAGAAAAAACTTGATAAAAAATCTAACCAACATGATTCTGAATACATTTGAGACCACCTATCAGATTTTGTGGGCAGTTTTAATTTTTAACCTACATAACCTGGTTTTCCGAAATGTTGCTCAGGAGCAACATAGGCCTTTACAGTATAAAATAGAAATGAAAAAATTTAGAACATACAATATGCAAAATGTTTTGAATAACATTGTGACAATTTGATTTAATATGAATATATATTATATTATCTACCTCCTCCACAGGCGGTTCATTACATAGATGCGGGCAAGCAAAATTTAGGGATTGCATGGCGCGCCGCAGGTGGGAAAAGTAATGCAGGTAACCGAATATATCTAAATTGACTTTCCCACATTATTTTTCCCTAAAACACTCCTCCTGCGTCTAAATAATTAAACGTCTGTGGAGGAGGTAGATATATTATGAGTAATTTTTATCAACTAGATATATAAAGGATACAAAATCATGCAAATGTCTCGTCCTTCGCAAAGAACTAGTCAAATTGTCAATGTTCAAGCAAGTCTATTTGCGGTGATATGAGGCAAAGCAGTTTTTAGGGGTTTTTTACCACAGTCTAAGCACAAATATACTTTGCACCTGGAGCAGGTCCAAACGCTATAACCAGTCGGACAGTTTCGGCAATGTCCCTTCTTCCCTGGGCACATTGGCATGTGGGCAACATTGTCGAAGCGAATATCAAGCATGCTCAATTAAGTTTTATTTCATCAGATGTTGTGTTATTGTCCACAAAGTGAAGTGTTAGATAAATTAGCTTGAATCGGTCAAATAGAATTGACCGTACCCCAAATCTGACCTCCAATAGTTGTCAATCTTTGGAAGTCGGACAATTCCCATCAATTAATAAATACCAACGTAGGTTGTCATCTCTGCTTTGGTAAAATTTGGACATGAGCCTGTGTTTTCGGTTGCATACTTACTGAATTCTTCCACCAAATTGTCAATCATGGCATCAGTCAAAAACATGTTGACATACGCAACAGGTATTCTTTCATCGGGCGCTGGTATTTTGGGTTCTGGAATAAACGAGGGAACCGGACGTGACACAAATGGTTGTCACTTTTCAAACTTATACTTTGACTCACTTTTCTTTCGACAGGCCAGAGGTACATTATCTTTATTGTCATCATCATTGTCATCACTACCATCACCACTAACAATTCCCTCGTCGTCACCATCCTCACCACCACTAATGCCTGAATCATCACCATAATCGCCACGACAACCACCTTGAACATTATCCAACTCCCAATCCTCATCACCATCATCATCCAACTCATCTCCAGACGACAAAACATCACATTTGCTATCAGACCCTGTTACTGTATCCAAAATGTCATCAATTTCAACAAAATCCTTTGCCTGTAGGAATAAAATATATATTTTGGTAAGAAATGTCACAAAAAATCAAAATATAAACAAAATATGTAATGACAATGGTTTCCTAACATTTTGTTCTTCTAGATTTGTGTGTTTTGCAATATCTTACAGAATACTTATAAGTAAATATCGCTGAAAATGAAATAATAACATAAAAACATATATCACATGTGCTCATATCCATGTTGCACTTTGTACCCAATGTTGCTTGTGAGCAACACATATATTTTGTGGCCTATTTTTCGAGGATTTTTATATATTTCCTAACTTTAAATGAATAAATATTAATTTCGAATAATGCTGCCTTGTTCTTTTCTCTATTTTAAAATACCAGGAAATGTGAATACGGTAGAGATTCAAACGAATATTTCTTACCTTACGCGTGCTTCTTGCTTGCTTGTTGAGGCAGCCATTTTGGAAAGATCTAGATCATGTGATTCATGGCCGTGCTGTTTTCTGTAGGGCTGGGAACAAGCTATATATGTTGCCTAGCAGCAACAACAATTTCGAAAACCAGAGCCCGCAATCCTCTGTGGAGGCTTGCTGAGTCTCTGGGAAACACCGGCGACTTTTGCACGAAAATCAGTACATTTGGATCCAGTACTCCGCTCGACATTTATAAATAGACATTACTGCCGTCAAACATGAATTGTGCCGTTGTTTAAGCTTATTACGACTTTAATTCCTCAAAGAACACTTGCCATGGTTTTGAATTGTTGTAAGATACTGGTAGTGATTTATTTTAACTTGTTTAATTACGGTAAATCATGGATTGTCGTGTTATTTTAAATATTATAGGCAACGGCATATCATGACCTTATATGGTAATGCTGCACTGTTGTTATTCTTCATTTTGTTATTGGAATATCATTATCTGAATAGTCTATTGATTTCATATGAGAAGCTAGGGAAGATTAATAAGTTTATTAAAGTTATGCTATGTGTGTTTCATTGATATGTTAAAACATAATAGACAAAGAGAAATAAACTTTATATAAATTTTAAACGATGTTTGAAATTTGATTCACTAAATACGGCTCAAAGTTTGAATAAAAACTAGCGCTTGAAAAACAACCAATCAGAGCCCGACTTTCGCTGGTGTTTCCCAGAGCCTCAGCAAACCTCCTCACAGGATTGCAGGCTCTGGTTTCGAGACTGCAGCAACACTGGCTTTGAAATGATGAAAATTTATATTGGCGACTAGTGAGGGGGTATATATACAATGTTGCTCACAAGCAACAGTGGCTCCCAAAGGGTCAGCAGATGGCATATTCCTCGCGGAACCATCGCCAATAGCCGACTGTAGTCTAGGACATGTATATGCGTTTGTATGCGTTTCACTCAGCACAGGTAATCTCGACTGTTTTAGGGTAAAATGACCATGGCGGTCAACGTGGCATATGTGTTAAAACCTGAATCCAGGACGAAAATCCTGAAAATGACCCCGCCCTGAAACGGCAGTCTCGACATAGCTCTAACTTCCAAAAAAGAAAAGCGATAGTTTTCTGAAGTGCTTATGGTGTTTGGAAAGGTAACTTTTGGGTGGTAGTCATTGGAAGAAAAAATTTGTCTAAGTATAATATTTTACAAGAAAATGACATGCATAAAATAACTAATATGCCTGGCAGAAATTAAATTTTCTTATTATATAGTAGAGCACGGTGGGCACAAAAGACAGCTAATTCGGCCACGTACAAATAACTTTCTGTCGTTAGTTTGGAATATCACGAAACTTCCTCACAGGATAGAACTTGCCATTCCTAAAAATCCTATCGTTTTTGTTTTTCGATTTTGGCGCCAAAAAATTAAACACGAGCTAAGAACACGCTAGTAACGTTTTTGAAGAGATTGTCCTATAAGGATCTAAAAACTGTAAAAACATTAAAAATACAACAAGGCAGTGCGAAGATACGGCGATTCAAAATTCGAAAAAAATCTATTTTTAGTAACAAAATAGCGGATTTTTCAGAATTTTAAGCACCATATCTTTGCACTGCTTTGGTTTTTTTTACAAAATCGAAAAACAAAAACGATAGGATTTTTAGGAATGGGAAGTTCTATCCTGTGAGGAAGTTTCGTGAGTAGTCGTTATATATATACAATAAAAAAACAAGGGGGAGCGGGAACCAGAAAAAATTAACTGGAATTAGTATTGCGCGAGAGTGTCCAAGAGGGCGTTGGCCATGGGCGTGGTGGGCTGTACGGACGGGGGGAGTTTTGGTGGTCATGTGACTTCAGGAATGTTGTGTCCTGCCGCGCGCTCTGGAGGGTGTGGGATTTGTTTTTTTTGGGGGGGGGAGGGGCGCGCGCGCGTCGTTCTTACGAGAACGGGGGCTGGGGCGAGATGTTATTCCAAAGCCGCGGTCGACCGAAGTGATTTTGAATTCGAAGTTCGCGCTCTTTTATGCTCGCGGGTGTCGCGCGCCCGATTTTAGGGCGTCGCGGGTGTTTGCGGGTTGTTGGATCATATTTCGGGTGTAAGTAACCCGAAATTACGGGTGTTTTTCGGGTAGTGATATGACACACATACAATTTTTACATTATGTATTTATTATTTTTTATACAATTATTTACAAAACATTTTTTTCGAGTTTTCTACTTTTACGATTTTTTAACGCTTCGATCGTGAATTTTTCAAGATAGCAAAGTTTTTCTAGTTTGTCTTTTTGTGTTTTAATTTTCTCCAATGCATGTTCGCGTTTATCGCCTAGGTATATGTAGCATTGATAGTGTTTTATGTTGTAGGTTTCAAGAGTTTCGTTGCTAGTAGTTAAAATTGTTTTTCGTATTTTCTCTGTACCATCCAATGCGTAGAGAATTACGTCTTGTGAGCTGATTTTCTCCTCGTCTGCTTGATCGTTTTCAATCCTTGTGAGATGCACGTGTTTATTTGGTCTTCCACTTTTAGGCGCGGACGATGCTTTTTGTTTTAAACTTTTTTTTAAATTGTTTATGTTTTTACCCATAGGCGTTAGGGGTTTATTTTTCACGGGGGTCGCGGGTGGTTGTATAGGTGCGGGGGATGTTGCGGGAGATTGATTATCGCTACTTGATTCTAGTACTTCGGTTGACGTTGTTTCATTCAGTAGATATTCTGCTTCGTTGTTGGGGTATAGAGTATTTGGGTTTATCGGGTTCATGATATTTAATAGATCGTTATTATAGTATTCGTTCACATTGTTCAGGACAGGCGGTGACGTGTACGGTGGTGGTTGTTGTAACGCGTTGAAAAAGGTTTGTGGCGGTGGTGTTGTAATAATTGTGCTGCTTTCCATTGTTTGATAAATCGGTTGTTGTAACCACTTGATGTAGGCTCTGTCGAACGACGAGTATGCGGGGTTAGCTAGTCTAAAAAATTGGAAATCTGTAAACTTTTGAATGTAATGTAGTCGATTTACGTCGTTTTCCGCAACTCCTTGATATTCGAAGAAGAGCTTTAGATCTTGCTGTTGCTGTGCTGAAGCCATTGCGGTAGTGAATAAACTGTCTGAAAACTCTTTGTGCGATAAAAAGTAGATTAATGCATGTGACAGGTTAAAAGTAGATTACCTAATATGGTTGTGGAGTAAAAAGTCGATTACCAAATATGGTTTGACGTTGTGTGGGGTTGTAACAAATGATTGATCTGTTTTTCTTAGAATGAAAGAATTATTGGCAAGATGTCGTTTAATAATTCGACGAAAAATGCAAAGAATGTTGGATTTGCAAACATTGTTGACCTTGTTGATTAGCATATTTTTGCTAGTTTGGTTACGATATTTGATACCTTGTACTGGCGAGTGTGTGAAAATATTTACAGAAATTGTTCAAGAAATGGCTACTGGTTCTACTATGGTTGATGGTGAGCAATATGAAAAAAACATAAAACTTATAGTAAATCGTACATTGTCAAGAAACAGACTTGTGACATCCGACATATCATTTTATTTTAACGATTATGTTTATTATAATATACAATATGTTTTAACGGGACGACTTCGATACAAAGCGTATGGTATAAATACGTATAATGTGAGTTTTGTGGATGTGCGTGTAAACGAGACGTATCGAAATCTTTTGAGAATACCTGTGTGTTTTAGAAATGCTGATGCTGAGTTTTTTTATCATTCTTCACCGCTATCTTTATTGCTTGATACGGCACTACGTAATATTTATACGTTGGATGATGTGTGGACAATGATTAAAATAATAGTTGTACAAACAAAGATACTATGTAGTTATGCGTTATTACAAGCAATCATCGAAGACATATTAAAGGCTAAAGCAACGGGCGTTTGGAAAGAGATATAGGGATTTTTTTTTTTTTTTAGATTGTGTGGGGGTTTATTGTTGAAATGGATCGGTTGCAAGAGATTCGCGATTACTCGTTACCCGTTGATATACCCTTACAGAATAAAATGTGCGACGACAAGTTTGATGTTTTGGAAGTGAAACGTTTGTTGACTATCGATAAACAAATGATAAATTTTATTTTAACATTTTCAAGAGAAAATATTTTAAAACTATCGCTGAATAAACCTATGTGGTTGGTAAATAATGCGATGATTACACCGTTTCCACAGACTTATTTTTATTTTTTAAATTCTGTTGCAAAGCAGAATGTGTGTGTAATCACAATGATGATGTTATGCTGGAGTCGGGATATTTATGCGATTATTGACGTGGTCTTTCACATGACACCCGAGAAAGCATATACGGATCCTGTAAAATACCGTACACCGTATATTGAAATTAAACGTAATTTTAACGTGCTTTATTTTATGAATACGCTTTTTACATGTAAATCACTGAAGACATACGTGTACGGTCGCGTGGAAACATTTATTGAAACTATTTTTCAGCATAGCAGTATGGATATATCGGTGCAGAATTTATGTACGAGGATTTCCGACTGTATACGAATGTATGGCTCATGTCGTCTAACTCAAGTTCTAGTTTATTATTGTACGATGCTTAGGGATGCACGTATCCGCATGTTGTACAATTGCAGGGGGGCGTGTGTTGTAAAATACTTTCCCTTTTTCACGCCGTGGTATTCACACCCCACATGTAAGCATGGATAGCGTACGTCAAAATACATACATTGGAGAAAACGAAGACAAGGTTAAAATTCAAGAGTTATTGTTTAGGGACGATAAATTTTTAACGCTGGTCAAAGAAATGTGGCGTTATTATTTAAAATTACCCGTGGGAATCGATGAGATACAGAGTAATATTGTAAATGGAGGTTGTATAATAACATTTCCACAATGTTATTTTTATTTTGAAAATATGTATATCATTGCGGGCAGTTCGACAAGACGTCTGGTAATCGGTTGCGTATGTTTCTCGTTGGGATTTTGTGGACTGATCGAGGTTGATTTTTATATGCAACCGTGTAAATCAATGTATATAGCAACAGATCGTGTATGGAGCCCACCGTTTTGGTTGGTTACAACCAGTATTGATTTGATATGTCACGACGAGGAATACGTGGGGAGTTTACACACATTTATATATCAGAAAACAAAACTTTTTATGGCTGCTATCGATCAATGCACGCAGTGTAGCGATGACGTTTTACGCGAAGTATGCAATACAATATTGCACATGTATCCGTCTTATCGATTGGCGTGTATTATTAAGTATCTTTTAAAACTACAGTATATTGTTAAAGATTTCATGACGTCGTCGTGTAAATGTATCACGTGGAGTACAGAACGACGTAATCTGCAGTATGTACCCCCGAGATGTCGTTGCGAGACAATGTGTGCTTCGTGTGTTGCACAGTTTAAAGATTTGGGATACGTTTGCGATTAAATGTTTTGTCGAGCTACACCCTGTGAAGAGGAGCTAGAATTTTATGATGTTCTTCGTCGAGAGAATTATTTGAATACGGGCGGAGGGGAAATCGTGAATTTGTTATATGCCGAGAATATTTTCTCTTTTTCTTATTATATGTACGTTGTTGTAAAACATTTGGATTTGGAACGTGCGATATTGTCGTTGGATGTAAATTTAACGTCCGTACGTTGTACTAGAAAGCATATTATATCAAGATTTTTGGTAAAATGGCTACCCTCTACCCACAAGCGTCGTGTATGTCGGGAATCTATGGGGTGTCGTATGTCTCGTTACACAAGTGGTTGCAGCCATGCATATTTTGAGAATTATTCTCGAATGTCGAATACTTTGCATGATATTTATTATACGCTGACGAAGGAATCATTGAAAAAAGAACTCCCGGACGTGAAGAAGATTTGTAAAACACTCTGTCTAGACTATGACGTATTTGTGAGCGAACATTTAATTCAAACTTATATTTTTTATGCACAAAAATATTATGCGAATAGAAGTTATTTTACTCAGAACTGTAAATGTAATGCAGCTAAACCGTATTGTGTTTGTGATTGTATAATAAACAGATTTATAAATAAAAAATACAATTTTTTATCAGTGTGTGTGTGTGTGTTCGCTAGTATGGAGGTTGTAGAGCGTTGGTTTGAAAAACAACATAATCAAATTCAAAATTGGGAAAAAAATCATGTGCGAAAATATCAAAAAGATATTGTCAGCAGAATTACACACGTTATGGATTGTGAAGCGTACACGTTGGGTAAAAATCAATTTTATTTAAGAGAGGTGTCCGTGTATCGGATACGAGACGAAAAGACATTTTTATTTCAAATTTATATGCCCGATATTTATATAAATCCAAGAGTTGTACACTATCAAATTCACCACGTACATGGTCTACCCGTGGTGCGTGAAAAAAACAACGAGGATTTTTTACAATATTGTGACGTGTATAAAGTGTTATGCGAAGAGTTTATGACCTCTGCAGATTTGGTCGGTTACAAGGGTGGTACTATCGAAAGAGATTTATTAAAGAAATTGGGTACAAAGGGAATTAATATCGAGTTATTGGGGTGTGAAAAGTATGCGAACTTGATTACCAAATATGGTATGACACCCGAACGTTGTCCGTATCATTTGTATGGTGATTATCATTGTTCAAGACACGAAGTTCAGGTATTTGCACATTTCTTAAACGAGTTAGCACAAACATGTCGGACTACATAGATCTTTCAAAAGGACAGTCAGCTATCGAGGCGTTTGATATTTTATTAAAAAATTATCAACATCATCCCATTTTATGGCGTTTGTATTCTGTAAATAGTACGTTACGTATCAGAAAACTCCGCATGGATAAAGAACGTGTTATTCTTGATTATTTCGTGGAAAAAGAACCGTGGCTGTGTGGCGTGGGTAGTGGTTTGAATTCTATCATTTGTTACGACGATAAATTTAAAGACGAAAACAAAAATCCTACGGTCGAAGCTTTGATTTCACCAAGATATAGCGAAGGGGTCGTGTATGTGATACCCTGCGAATGGGTGAAAAGAGTGGTATTTGATGAAAAGGGGTACATGATTTTAAAATCCTTCGAGTTTTGCTGCCGTCAAGTTTTGAAGCGCACCGATTGTAAATTGGTGCGTTGTCAAGAGATGATCTTAGGCGAACCCTATCTTAAGGACGCGTCTTATTTCCACGTGGGTTGTGGACCTTGCAATGAAGAAAAAGCGTACTTGTTATATGAAATACCGATTTTTTTGGTTTAAAACCCTTGTTTGAAATATTTAAAACAACATCGTTTACAGTGGATATGTTATATATTATATATATATTAGGTGATCTCGACGATATGACGCTTCATATGATGAAAAATGACGGTTCGTTTCGAGAATACGATAGCGAATATTTACAGAAAATGTTAAAACATATTTTAGTATGTAGTAGATGTTGTAAATATTTAAAAGATTTTATAATGATAATTGATAAGTTTCTCGAGATAACTGACCCTGTACCGGATTATAGTGACCGATGTAACGTAGAAACATTTTTAGATGATATAATACCCTGTGATGTTTTTTTGATAGACGGTGAATTTAACGTGATTCGAGAACAATACTATTCGGCGTTATCAAATGAAACTAATGAACTGGGTATTGAAGCTTCGCACAGTATCGTGTTGAAGTTCATACAAGAACATGGCAGTGTTTCGCAAATATAATATCAAAACGTTGTACTTTAAATATCCTTATACGCGTTGGATTTACAGGAACAAATGTGTAGTGGGATTTATTAATTATAATAATCAATATGATTACGACGAGGATTACTCCTGTTGTTTAGTTCATATGGCATTACGGGGATATAGTATTCAGCCAGCATCGTGTATTCAATGTTTATGTGCGTTTTCAGATAAATATTTACAGTTTGTTAAAACGCGTCAGTATATTGTGGGTCTCGTGTTAGAAGGTTGTAAAAATGGTTAGTACGCGAACATTTTATTTTGAAACAACTGGTGCTAAAGAGAAACTATTGCGAGAGCTAATGTTAAAATGGTCAAAGAATGGAATGTTGAAATATTTTAAATATGTAAAATATGAACTATGTGGTTCGATGAAGATAGCGGGTTTGGTACAATTTTGTAGACGTTTTTCGAAAAAATTCTACGGTTATGTTTTATGGAAGAAAAGATAGATATGCGAATTTTACATCCCGTGGGAAAACCATTGATTTTAACATATATGCAACTGTGGGTGATAAGAGATTTTTTTTCTGCTACCGAATATGAACACGGAGAATTTAGTCTTGGGGGTAAAAAAAGATGTCTGACAAATACTGTACGCCCGTATTTGATGGGTTTAAAACACACTACAAACAATACGTCAAATACAAATATTTGTCGATTGCTTGAATTCAGAAAGATGCTAAAATTACGCTATAAGAATATGTGAAAGGGATGATTTAACCACCAGTCGCTCGACGTGTGCAACGATGATGGAACATTTTTTATTATGGAGACGGGCTAAATTTCGATACTTTTTGAGATAATATATATCTCAATTTTATTTCGCTATGTTAAAACTTAATTTATTTACGTATAAACGACCGAAATTTAAATAAAACATACTTGTAAAAAGTTGATTACCTTATACGGAATGATGACGACATTGGCTATGAATAAAAGGACTTTGAAATTTATGGAAGTAATTATTTGTGTGTGTGTGTTACAAAAAAGACGCATCGGTAGAAATTTACGTCGTCTTTTGTTTGAAACGTGTAAAGAAAATCAGCACACGGAGAATATTTTAGGTAAATATTTATTGATGATACATTACATGTTTTGCGGACGGTATAGTATTTCTAAGTTTAGTAGCATGTCCACTCTTGCGTTTCTTTTTGATTCCTGCACCTTTTTGTTGGTAATTTTTTCGGACAGGCATAGGGGGTGGGGCGTTTCTTGCTTGTGTTTGCCCTCCCAATGCACCCAATGCCAACTGTTTCCCCGCGTTTAGAAGTTTTTGCGAGAATGGATTTTTTCTTATTTTTGTAAAAAAATTCCCGCCATCCTGTTTCTTGCTACGTTGATATTTTTCCCCCTTGAAATTTCCACCGTGTTGTTTTCGTTTACGACCCATATTTTCGTACGCGCGTGGTTAACAAATAATTATTTATAGTTACCAACAGTGTTTTTTATCCCCAATATTCTTTTCCGTACGAAGTAAATATTTCCTGGTTGGCGGGTATTTTTTTAGTCGCTTTTAATTTAAACATTTGATTGCCCTTTATTTTGGCATTGTTTTGAAAAGATGTACCCCGACTATCGTTAACAAAACGTGCCGCCGCGTCTGTGGTGTATGTGGCATCAACGCATCGCCCTCGTTTATTGCATACGGCATATTTTGCAACACCGTCCCCATATTTTTTATCCAATTCCTTTTTGCTTAATTTACGACCCGTATATTTTGAAATCAATTTTCCCAGTGTGATAGGTTTTTTCCACGCGAATAACCCCTTGCCAGCACCCGCCACATTGGAGGGTTTAATGCGTAAATTATTTTGCTTCGCTAGATGAATCCAACATTTTTCTGTATGCGCTGTTCGTTTACGGCAACGTATATCTTTTTGTGTATTGCTTACACATTGTTGAGATTTTCGAATACTTTGCGATCTGGGCTTACGTTTTCTACGTGTCTGACGTAGTAAATTTAATACAAATTTTTGTCGCCGCGGTGTTTTCTTAGTTCTCGCCATTGCTTAGACGATTAAGGAAATGCCTACGTATTGGTCTTTGTGACGCTCTATATAATTAATAGCGTTGGTTATTTTATTTGCCAGGTGTGTAGGAATTGCGTACGTTGTACACATATCTGCAAATCGAGACCATAAATCGTCGATGGATATTTCGACAAATGCTTCGAGATGGTCGTGACACCAGAGAGAAAGGGCATCGTTAAATAATATAGGTATGATTGCGATGTCTTGATCATCATCGTTAAATTCATAATTTGCTACGTAATTTTCTTTGGGGTTTGTAAGTGATTTAAAATGAATGTTTATGTGACCCGTCGCCATTTGTATACGTCTTGTCTTGTCGCAAATGTTATTTATAATGGGTTCTAAATTGTGTACGGGTAGTAGTGATACACGTCTTGTTACGTTCGATTGTATGTTTGTGAACGTAAATCGAAGTCCAAATATTCAATTGGATATTACAGACGCTGGGAAAGAGGGTGTGGAAGAAGAAGAGGAAGTGAAGCCGACGCGTTGTTGTTGTCTGTTATGGCATCGTCGGCGTCGAAAAAACGAAAACGAGACGAAGACGACGACGTAGATGGGGAACTCGTACAAGATATCGTACGTATTATTGGTACTAGAAACCATACCGTACCCAATTATGACATTCCCGCCCAGCAAATTCACGAACTTGTGGACATAATTCGCACAAATCAAACTAAACGCGTACGCCGCGAAGTGTTTAGTGCCGAATTATTACGCGTCAATCGACGATTTAATCACAACGAATTTATTTATAATATTAGCGTAGGACGTAATAATGCGAGTAGTTTACCGGATTTTTTACAGAGTATGAATACTGTTTTTAAATATCTCATAAATGTAATGAATTTTAATGCTAGTTCGCCGACAGATAAAGCACGTTTCTATATTTCGAATGCTCCGACGGCTAGTTTCTCGACGGCTATTTTGAATGTAGGTGATTTTACACCTGCATTGTTTTTAAATATTTTCGAACGACATATGCAAAGTAATGCACGTACCGTGATTGACAATGGCTGGCAATCGATCGTGAGTTTATATATTTTCCCCAATAGGTATGTGCGTCCTCCAAATAATAGGAAAAAATTAAAACAGCCTAAAATTTATAAATATTACGGTAAAAATCCCAGCGAGTCGGGTAACGGGCGCACATCGGCAAGTAAGCATGGGCGGGGGGTACGAAATGGTGTTTTTCAAGTGGTAAGTAGTAAAAAATGTTTTGCCCTTAGTTTGCTGGTGGGAAAATCGTTTTTGCAAAAAGACAAACAGTACGATGTTTTAAACGTACGACGTAACACGGAACTCACGACGTTGTATACAGACGCACAGATCGACAATGTTTACGCATGCGCCGACGTACCCCAGGGTTCCGTACGTGTTGATCAATGTCATCTGTTCTACGAGAATTATTTACGCGCGGACAATATTGATTTGGTTATTTTTTCTAAAGCTCGGCACGATTCCATCGTTTACGATTCGCGTTTAGATGCGTCGGGAAATATTCACCGTATTACCGAGAATGTTATTTTTCTTTGGTTGAACGACGCTCATTTTGATTTGATTTTATCGTCACGAAAATTTATGAAAAATAGCGGATCCCGTTTTTGCATGAAATGTATGAAATACTTTCGTGTTTTTGAAAATGCCACGACCCACGTTTGTCACACGGTAAATACGTGTAAGAAATGTTACGCTCACGAGGCAAAATGTGTCAGTGAAGAGGGTTTTAAAATCGAATGTAGCGAATGTCATGTACTGTTTCGTAATAGGGAATGTTTTACAAAACATTTAACACATGCTATTTTTAAAAACAATTACAGCAAAAATGTACCCGCCTGTCGTTTTTTCTTTTTTTGTAAAACTTGTTATCGAATCGTACCACGTATGACGCGGATTAGTACAAAAAAATCAATTAAACACAAATGCGGTCAATTTTATTGTCTTCACTGTAATGCTATCAAGGATCAGGGTCATGCTTGTTACATGAAACCGTATAAAATTCCTGCCGGTGAAGTATTACCCGTGTTGTATTTTTACGATCTTGAAACGCGTTTGAATGACGAGAAACTTATGGTGCCCTTTTATGCCGTTGTACAAAAAGTTTGTAGTCAATGTGACGAGAAAGAGTTTGTTAGATTACAGAATAATTTTTTGCCACATCCCACGATAAAGCATTGCGACAATAGTGTAGAACCCGTAGCATGTTGTATGCACAGACAATATGTTTTTGAAAATAATAACGAGGACGTTACCGATTTACTTATTAGTTTCATGTTTGCTCAAACCAAAAATAGCGTGTGGATAGCACACAACGGGGGGCGTTTTGATAATATATTTTTACTTCGGGAATTGTTAGTAAAAAGGGGCGTGGTTCCGCATACTGTCATGAACGGTAATAAAATTATGAGTATGGAAATTCGGCACGGCGATATCTCAATTAAGGTAATTGATAGTTATTTGTTTTTGGCCATGCCCTTGAGTAAAATTCCCGAAGCAATGGATATACCCGATCTTGCAAAAGGGTATCACCCCCATTTTTTTACAGACTTAAATTATGTGGGGCCCATGGTAGGGTTGGAGTATTTTGATTTAAGTCGCGAAGAGGATATGGAAGCATTTAATAAATGGTACGAAATTCAAAAAACAAAAACGTATATATTTCGCGATGCCGTTTATTACTATTGTCGTTTGGACGTGGATATTTTGCGGCAGGGGTGTGTGAGATTTGCACGTCTCATCGTAAATATTACGAAAATTTTTCCATTTTACGATCGCACATGTCACACCATCGCGGGTTTAGCATTGAAAATATACCGTGCTAATTTTTTAAAAGAAGACGTCATCGGACAAATCCCTCCGACGGGTTACGGCGGGAATGTTAACCAAAGTATTATAGCGTTGCATTGGCTCGAGGAGATTCGTGAAAATCTTGAAGCGCAAAGCTATTCGTTGCGAAGTAAGTTGTCGCCTGAAGGAGAGGAAAATATTTTAAATTATTTTGTGGACGGCTATTGTGCTGAAACGAATACGATTTATCAATTTCATGGTTGTTTTTTTCATGGTTGTAGCGAATGTTTTGAAAGCGGTGATATAAACAAAGTGAACGGGCAACGATTTTATGTACTGCGTGAAAAAACTCGTCGAATCACGGATCTTTTTAAAGATTATCATTTTACAGTCGTGGAAAAATGGGAATGTGAATACATTCAAGAATGTAGTTTATCGCGAAATACCATTCTTGAATTGGGTCACGTGAAATATTTCACTTACATCAATTTAAATCCTCGTGACGCCTTATTTGGCGGGCGGACGTCACCGGCGATACTATTTTATGATGTCAAGGATTCGGAACAGAAACTTCGTTATTACGACTTTACTTCCCTATATCCGTATGTTCAAAAAAAATATCGGTATCCGACAAAACATCCGGAGATTACGCGAGGTGTTGACAAATGTGCAAAATTAAATGTTTCTCAAATTTTCGGGTTAATTAAATGTAAAATGTTAGCACCACGTACTATGCTATTTCCCGTATTACCCATACGGCTAGAAAAATTAACGTTTGCTCTTTGTCCGACTTGCGCACGCAATCAATGCGACAAGTGTACACACGATGACGAGCAACGAGCACTGTATGGCACGTGGACGAGTGTAGAAGTTCACGTGGCGCTCGAACACGGATATAAAATACTTGCTATTTACGAAGTTTATCATTATACTCATAGTGCTAAAATTTTTGATCTGTACGTCGATACGTTCATGAAATTAAAACAGGAAAGTAGTGGTATGCCACGTCAGTGTATAAAAGACGATGGCAGCGTCGATAATGTAAAATTACAAGCATACATACAAGAGTATGCAGATCACGAACAAATTTACTTAGATGCTTCGAAGATAGGGCATAATCCCGGGCAACGTACGGTCATGAAAGCTCTTTTAAATTCGTTATGGGGGAAACTAGCACAGAATGAAGACACCACCGTGGTGTCGTTTCTCGACGATTTTGACGATTTGTTAGATTTGGTAAACGATAAAACAATCGAGGTGACCTCTTTGGATTTTATAAGTGATAATATTGCACGCAC